GTGTACATACAGTCAGGTCCATAAATATTGGGACATGGACACAATTGTAACATTTTTGGCTCTATACACCACAATGGATTTGAAATGAAAATGAAACAAGATGTGCTTTAACTGCAGACTGTCAGCTTTAATTTGAGGGTATTTACATCCAAATCAGTTCAGGTGAACGGTGTAGGAATGACAACAGTTTGCATAGGTGCCTCCCACTTGTTAAGGGGACCAAAAGTAATGGGACAATTGGCTTCTCAGCTGTTCCATGGCCAGGTGTGTGTTATTCCCTCATTATCCCAATTACAATGAGCAGATAAAAGGTCCAGAGTTCATTTCAAGTGTGCTATTTGCATTTGGAATCTGTTGCTGTCAACTCTCAAGATGAGATCCAAAGAGCTGTCACTATCAGTGAAGCCATCATTAGGCTGAAAAACAAAACAAACCCATCAGAGAGATAGCAAAAACATTAGGCGGGCCAAAACAACTGTTTGGAACATTCTTAAAAAGAAGGAACGCACCGGTGAGCTCAGCAACACCAAAAGACCCGGAAGACCACGGAAAAACCAACTGTGGTGGATGAGCGAAAAAGAATTCTTTCCTGGTGAAGAAAACACCCCTTCACAACAGTTGGCCGGATCAAGAACACCCTCCAGGAGGTAGGTGTATGTGTGTCAAAGTCACCAATCAAGAGAAGACTTCACCAGAGTGAATACAGAGGGTTCACCACAAGATGGAAACCATTGGTGAGCCTCAAACACAGGAAGGCCAGATTAGAGTTTGCCAAACGACATGTAAAAAAGCCTTCACAGTTCTGGAACAACATCCTATGGACAGATGAGGACCGACATCAACTTGTACCAGAGTGATGGGAAGAGAAGAGGATGGAGAAGGAACTGCTCATGGTCCTCAGCATACCCACCTCATCAGTGATCATGGTGGTGGTAGTGTCATGGCGTGGGCATGTATGGCTGCCAATGGAACTGCTTCTCTTGTATTTATTGATGATGTGACGGCTGACAGAAGCAGCCGGATGAATTGTGAAGTGTTTCGGGAATATTATCGGCTCATATTCAGCCAAATGCTTCACAACTCATTGGACGCTCACAGTGCAGATGGACAATGACCCAAAGCAGACTGCAAAAAAACACAAAGAAGTGGAATGTTCTGCAATGGCCAATCACCTGACCTGAATCCGATTGAGCATTTCACTTGCTGAAGACAAAAACTGAAGGGAAAATGCCCCAAGAACAAGCAGGAGCTGAAGACGTTGTAGTAAAGGCCTGGCAGAGCATCACCAGGGATGACACCCAGCGTCTGGGGATGTCTATGCGTTCCACACTTCAGGCTGTCATTGACTGCAAAGGATTTGCAAACCAAGTATTAAAAAAGTGAAAGTTTGATTTATGAATATTATTCTGTCCCATTACTTTTGGTCCCTTAAACAAGTGGGAGGCATATGCAAACTGTTGTCTTTCCTACACCGTTCACCTGATTTGGATGTAAATACCTCAAATTAAAGCTGACAGTCTGCAGTTAAAGCACATCTTGTTCATTTCATTTCAAATCCATTGTGGTGTATAGAGCCAAAAAATGTTAGAGTTGTGTCCATGTCCCAAGTATTTATGGACCTGACTGTATGTATTCAGTATATTACATTGTATAGGTCAGGGGCGTCTTCATTGCTCTCCGCTCTGATTGCACAAGTATGTAACATGGGGGGGCGGTTTTTACCCTTTAGGGCAGGACCTGTCAGCCTAGAGACACCAATATCCCACTCACCTGCCCCGTTTTATGAGGTCACCCTCACTAGTCCCGGGTTGGACCCCCTTTTGCCTCCATTCTTTGTGGCATAGATCCAACAAGGTGTTGGCATAGTGACATGATGGCATCACGCAGATTTGGCTGCAATCCATGATGGGAATCTCCCGTTCCACCACATCCCAGGGGTCCTGCTCTATTGGATGGAGATCTGGTGACTGTGGAGGCCATTGGGTGCCAGTGACTCATTGTCATGTTCCAGAAAACACCAAGTTGGGGATGATTGAGCTTTGTGACATGGAGCATTATCCTGCTGGAAGGAGCCATCAGAAGATGTTGGGACACTGGAGTCATGAAGGGGTGGACATGGTCCGCAACAATACTCAGGTAGGCCATGGTGCCTAAATGATGCTCAGTTGGTACTAAGGGGCCCAAAGTGTGCCAAGAAAATCTCCCCACACCCATGACACCACCACCACCAGCCTGAACTGCAGATACAAGGCAGGATGGATCCCCCACACCATGACACCACCACCAGAACCATGGATACAAGCAGGATGGATTCCCCACACAATGACACCACCACCACCAGCCTGAACCATGACTCCACCTCCAGATACAAGGCAGGATGGATTCCCCACACCATGACACCACCACCACCAACCTGAACCCCACACCATTGATACAAGGCAGGTGATATACATGGCGGATCCCCCACACCATGACACCACCACCAGCCTGAACCATTGATACAAGGCAGGACGGATCCCCCACTCCATGACACCACCACCACCAGCCTGAACCATTGATACAAGGCAGGATGGATTCCCCACACCATGACACCACCACCAGCCTGAACCATGGATACAAGGCAGGATGGATCCCCCACACCATGACACCCCCACCACCAGCCTGAACCATTGATACAAGGCAGGATGGATTCCCCACACCATGACACCACCACCACCAGCCTGAACCATTGATACAAGGCAGGATGGATCCCCCACACCATGACACCACCACCACCAGCCTGAAACCATTGATACAAGGCAGGATGGATCCACCACACCATGACACCACCCACCACCAGCCTGAACCATGGATACAAGGCAGGATGGATCCACCACACCATGACACCACCCACCAGCCTGAACCATTGGATACAAGGCAGGATGGATCCATGCTTTCATGTTGTTTACCCCAAATTCTGACCCTACCATCTGAATGGTGGCGTGGGAGTCGTCGCCCCCTCCCGCTGGCTGCATGGGAGTCCTCAGCCCCTCCTGGTGGCGATGGCAGCATCATGGCCCCCTCCCGGTGGCGGCATGGGAGTCGTGTCCACCTCCTGGTGGTGGCGTCGGCGGCGGCATCATGGTCCCCTCCCAATGGCGGTGTGGGAGTTATCAGCCCCCTCCAGGTGGCATCATAGCCCCCTCCCAGTGGTGGCGTGGGAGTCTTGGCCCCCTTGCGGTGGTGTCGTGGGAGTTGTCGCCCCCTGGTGGCAGTTACAGGAAGAGGGGGCAGCCACCATCCTCACATCTTGTTTCCCACTCCTGATGGTATCATCACCTTTTTGAGGTGGATGACATGACCTCCCCCCCCCCCCCCCCCCACTGCAAGGGTTAAATGCACTCGGGTGACGGAAAACACCTTATTCCCCTAGTGGGGCAACTATGTCATTGCAGTCTCCTGTGGGGAGAGGAGGACAGCCCAGGTGCAGGGGTTAGGGTAATAATGGCTCTTATTCTACCCAAGCCCCGCCCTCATCCACCCCCCCCCCCCCACCATAACAAGCATTTAACGCTTGCAGTACAGGGGACCCCCTACCAGGATTTGACTAATTCCCAGAGTTGGGATTCAAGCCACACTGAACCTGTGGTGCCCCTTGCTGCTGCTTTGTGAGGGCCTGACCAGGACAATCATGCAGCCAGTGAAGTCACAGGAAGTTGGGAACTACTCTATTGTCATTTCCCTGACATGGCGCTCACATTTTGCTGTTCCATATTTCTCAGGGGGAGAATTGTGCCATCGGGTGTCCCTGCCGAGACTGCAGGACAGGCCACAGCAGGCATCTGTTCTAGTCTGGAGGAGCAGCGATGGAGGCACACTATGAGGGGCAGAACAGGGCAGTCACTGTGCGGCACTGATGGGTGTACCAAGATGGCGGCCCCCCCCCTATTATATATATATATATATATATAACAACCAATCAGGAGGAGATGACGGCGGACATTCAGATCACATCCAATGTATAGAAAATAAACTGTAATAAAAGGTGCTACATGTACAGATATACACACAGTATACACCCCGTATACCACCACCCCCACATAATAAGCACAGTATACACCCCGTATACAGTATACACACAGTATACACCCCGTATACAGCACAAGTATACACCCGTATACACACCCCCCACAGTATACAGTATACACCCCGTATACAGCACAGTATACACACAGTATACACCCCGTATACACCACAGTATACACCCCGTATACCGTATACACACACCGTATACACCCCGTATACACACAGTATACACCCCGTATACAGCACAGTATACACACAGTATACACCCCGTATACACACAGTATACACCCCGTATACAGCACAGTATACACAAAGTATAACACCCCGTATACAGCACAGTATACACCCCGTATACACACCCGTATACAGCACACAGTATACACCCCGTATACACACAGTATACACCCGTATACAGCACAGTATACACCCCTGTATACACCCCAGTATACACCCCGTATACAGCACAGTATACACCCCGTATACACCACAGTATACACCCCGTATACAGCACAGTATACACCCCGTATACACAGTATTACCCAGTATACACCCCCCGTATACACACCAGTATACACCCCACAGTATACAGCACAGTATACACCCCGTATACAGCACAGTATACACCCCGTATACAGCACAGTATACACCCCGTATACATACACCCCACAGTATACACACACCCGTATACACCCCGTATACACACAGTATACTCCACATTGTCCCGGCATGTCAGTGCAGATCGTCATTCCGGAGCCTGCCCAGACTGCGTGGAATTTTCAGCAGGTCCTTACACAGTTGCTGACAAGGTTACACAGAGGTTTGTCCAATCAGATTGTAAGGTGTATAGATGGCTGTGTGTAGGATGGCGACCCTTCATCCTGCCTGTGGCTGATCTCCTCCTGTGCCGGGCTCTCCGCTCAGCGTGTTTCCGTCTCTCGGGGGGAGGGCGGGCTGGATTGGGGGTCCTCCGACTCGTAGCACAGATTCACTCTGCCCTGAGCCAGCTGGAAGAAGAGGCTGCCGTCCGCTCCGGTGTGGTGCTCCACCAGGGCCGCCAGGCTGGGGAATTCTTGGGGGAGGTGCTAGGGGAGGAGAGAGAGAGGTCCGGGGTCAGGCACATACTGATAGTGTTATGTGGACTCAGAAGTCAGGAGACAGCGTGTGTTATCAGATCCCATCTCTGACTCCCAGCTCCAGAGTTGCCCTCACCCATTGCACATACACCTGCACTCAGGAGCTGGGAGACAGCGTGTGTTATCAGATCCCATCTCTGACTCCCAGCTCCAGAGTTGTCCTCGCCCATCGAACATACAGCTACACTCAGGTGCTGGGAGACAGCGTTTGTTATCAGATCCCATCTCTGACTCCCAGCTCCAGAGTTGCCCTCACCCATTGCACATACAGCTACACTCAGGAGCTGGGAGACAGCGTGTGTTATCAGATCCCATCCCCCAGCTCCAGAGTTGTCCTCACCCATCACACATACAGCCTACACTCAGGAGCTGGGAGACGCGGTGTGTTATCAGATCCCATCTCTGACTCCCAGCCCCAGAGTTGTCCTCACCTAGAGCACCTACACCTACATTCAGTAGCTGGGAGACAGTGTGTGGATTTATCAGATCCCAGCCCCAGAGTTGTCCTCACCCATCACACATACACCTATATTCAGGAGCTGGGAGACACGGTGTGTTATCAGAGCCCATATCTGACTCCCAGCCCCAGAGTTGTCCCCACCTAGAGCACATACGCATACACTCAGGAGCTGGGAGACAGTGTGTGGATTTATTGGATCCCAACTCCATCGGTAGCCACACACAGTGCACATACAGAAGCACTCTGGAGCCGGGAAACTGTGTGTTATCAGGTCTGCCTCCTAGCTCCAGAGTTGTCACACATTGCCCATATGGAAATGCCCCTCCCCCTCATAGCTGATGCCCAGCCCTCCCCCGCAGATCCATGTTACCTCGAAGCAGTACTTGGCCTTCTGGTTGGTGTAGATCTTGTAGGGGATGACCCCGCACTGGGTGCTCATGTACAGAGTGAAGTGCCCGGAGCACCCCGGGTCCGGATGGAGCAGGAAGGCCCCCATACGGTCTTCCTTCAGCAGGCTGAGGCTCGAGTCCCTGCAACACAGCCAGAGCCGGATTAGGGAAGATGGCATCTACATCGCTATGGTATATGTTAGCTGCACTTGGGGAAGGGGGAGGCACAGCCACAGCTGTAGCGCCATCTACTGGCACCAACCATGATATCAGAAAAATGATATCAGAAAACTGGCCATAAAGAGATCCCGCCATGGCAGCAAATATCCGGCCGTGCCAAGTCCCTCGTCTGGCGGTGACACTGCTGGGATGAAGCAGACATAGGCAGTATCGCACACAAAGATGTGTCTGCCCTGGAACTGGCTCCACCCCAGGCGAGTTCCGTCTGCAACGCTGGCTAGGAGACACAGCTGAAGTAGGTTAACAGGAGACAGGTTCTCTTTATTACCATCATGGCTGCCTGATGTCAGAAAAGCTTCTACCTGTCAATCCCGGCGCAGAACCAAACCGCGTCCACCAAGACATCCGACTTCTCCGACAACTCAAATGGAGCGTGACTGGTCCTACCTACAGAGCAGAACCAACTGGTCACATGACTTCGTTAGTGTGTGATTGTGGGGGAGGGGGCATTAGAGTGTCATTAGAGTGTAAGCTCCTCTGGTACAGAGACTGATGTGACTGTGGGGGAGGGGACATTAGAGTGTAAGCTCCTCTGGTACAGAGACTGATGTGACTGTGGGGGAGGGGACATTAGAGTGTAAGCTCCTCTGGTACAGAGACTCCTCTGACTGATGTGTGACTGTGGGGGGAGGGGACATTAGAGTGTAAGCTCCTCTGGTACAGAGACTGATGTGACTGTGGGGGAGGGGACATTAGAGTGTAAGCTCCTCTGGTACACAGACTGATGGGACTGTGGGGGGAGGGGGGAGGGGACATTAGAGTGTAAGCTCCTCTGGTACAGAGACCGATGGGACTGTGGGGGAGGGGACATTAGAGCGTAAGCTCCTCTGTACAGAGACTGATGGGACTGTGGGGGAGGGGACATTAGAGCGTAAGCTCCTCTGGTACAGAGACTGATGTGACTGTGGGGAGGGGACATTAGAGTGTAAGCTCCTCTGGTACAGAGACTGATGTGACTGTGGGGGAGGGGACATTAGAGCGTAAGCTCCTCTGCTACAGAGACTGATGTGACTGTGGGGGAGGGGACATTAGAGTGTAAGCTCCTCTGGTACAGAGACTGATGGGACTGTGGGGGAGGGGACATTAGAGTGTAAGCTCCTCTGTACAGAGACTGATGGGACTGCGGGGGGAGGGGACATTAGAGCGTAAGCTCCTCTGGTACAGAGACTGATGTGACTGTGGGGGAGGGGACATTAGAGTGTAAGCTCCTCTGGTACAGAGACTGATGGGACTGCGGGGGAGGGGACATTAGAGTGTAAGCTCCTCTGGTACAGAGACTGATGTGACTGTGGGGGAGGGGACATTAGAGTGTAAGCTCCTCTGGTACAGAGACTGATGTGACTGTGGGGGAGGGGACATTAGAGTGTAAGCTCCTCTGGTACAGAGACTGATGGGACTGTGGGGGAGGGGACATTAGAGCGTAAGCTCCTCTGGTACAGAGACTGATGTGGACTGTGGGGGGAGGGGACATTAGAGTGTAAGCTCCTCTGGTACAGAGACTGATGGGACTGCGGGGGAGGGGACATTAGAGTGTAAGCTCTTCTGGTACAGAGGCTGATGGGACTGTGGGGGAGGGGACATTAGAGTGTAAGCTCCTGTGGTGTGTTGTGTACAGCACTGTGGAATAGGTTGATGCTACATACACATAGAGAACACATGGCTCCCTCTACATGGACTGATCACGTGGTACATACCTGGGGTCTCTGGTGTGGCCCCTCCCCGGAGCTGGGACTCGTAGTTGGGACAGCGGTACGCTCCACATCGAATGACTTTGCTGCGGATGGCCTTCTTGCGGACGAGTGTGGGGGAGCAGTACGGGGTGTCGGAGGATGAGCTCCGGCGGATGTTTGTTCCTTCCGACATCTCATTCTGGGGGGGACAGAAACACCCCGAAGAGTCATTGTATATAATGTACAGGGAAGGATATACAAGGCAGGACAGGATACAATTAAAAAAGGGGGAAAATATATATATCTATATATTAGACATTGGAGGGTATGATGTACACAGGGATGGGTATGATGTACACAGGGAGGGGGAGGGGTATGATGTACACAGGGAGGGGGAGGGGTATGATGTGTACAGGGAAGGGTATGATGCGTACAGGGAAGGGTATGATGCGTACAGGGAGGGTATGATGCGTCCAGGGATGGGGATGGGTATGATGCGTCCAGGGATGGGTATGATGCGTCCAGGGATGGGTATGATGCGTCCAGGGAGGGGTAGGGTATGATGCGTCCAGGGAGGGTATGATGCGTCCAGGGAAGGGTATGATGCATCCAGGGATGGGTATGATGCGTACAGGGAGGGGTATGATGCGTCCAGGGATGGGTATGATGCGTACAGGGAGGGTATGATGCGTACAGGGATGGGTATGATGTATCCAGGGAGGGTACGATGTGTACAGGGATGGATATGATGCGTACAGGGATGGGTATGATGTATCCAGGGATGGGTATGATGCGTACAGGGATGGATATGATGCGTACAGGGATGGGTATGATGTATACAGATTGGGAGTATATATCGTACACAGAGAAGGGACACTCACTTGGCTGCTGGTGACACCGTCCTCCCCGGCCCCCCGGAAGCCTCCTGAAAGACACCAAAGCGTTGACATTCGGAGTGACTTGTTCGGGGTCGAGCGGCTCCCTTATGACTCCGCCTCCAAACCCTTTCCTCTGCATCTTGGGAGCCGCAGAGGCCGAAGCCTTCATATCCTCCACCTCGGGGTGTGAAGACAAATATTGGAGCTGGAAGGAGCGACATAGCAGCAGATTCAACACCTGAGCCTAAAGGGAAGACAGGAACATTACCATTCACCCCGTCCTCTGCTTCACATTAACCATTAGATACATAGCACTCTCTGCCTGTCCCCCATACTGGGCCATAGTACGTAGCACTCTCTGCCTGTCCCCCATACTGGGCCATAGTACGTAGCACTCTCTGCCTGTCCCCCATACTGGGCCATAGTACGTAGCACTCTCTGCCTGTCCCCCATACTGGGTCATAGTACGTAGCACACTCTGCCTGTCCTCCATACTGGGCCATAGTACGTAGCACTCTGCCTGTCCCCCATACTGGGCCATAGTACGTAGCACTCTCTGCCTGTCCCCCATACTGGGCCATAGTACGTAGCACACTCTGCCTGTCCCCCATACTGGTCATAGTACGTAGCACACTCTGCCTGTCCCCCATACTGGGCCATAGTACGTAGCACTCTCTCTGCCTGTCCCCATACTGGCCATAGTACGTAGCACTCTCTGCCTGTCCCCCCTATACTGGCCATAGTACGTAGCACTCTCTGCCTGTCCCCATACTGGGCCATAGTGCGTAGCACTCTCTGCCTGTCCCCCATACTGGGCCATAGTACGTAGCACTCTCTGCCTGTCCCCATACTGGGCCATAGTACGTAGCACTCTCTGCCTGTCCTCCATACTGGGCCATAGTACGTAGCACTCTCTGCCTGTCCCCCATACTGGGCCATAGTACGTAGCACTCTCTGCCTGTCCCCCATACTGGGCCATAGTACGTAGCACTCTCTGCCTGTCCCCCATACTGGGCCATAGTACGTAGCACTCTCTGCCTGTCCCCCATACTGGGCCATAGTACGTAGCACTCTCTGCCTGTCCCCCATACTGGGCCATAGTACGTAGCACTCTCTGCCTGTCCCCCCCCCCCCCCATACTGGGCCATAGTACGTAGCACTCTCTGCCTGTCCCCCATACTGGGCCATAGTACGTAGCACTCTCTGCCTGTCCCCCATAATACTGGGCCATAGTACGTAGCACTCTCTGCCTGTCCCCCATACTACTGGCCATAGTACGTAGCACTCTCTGCCTGTCCCCCATACTGGGCCATAGTACGTAGCACTCTCTGCCTGTCCCCCATACTGGGCCATAGTACGTAGCACTCTCTGCCTGTCCCCCATACTGGGCCATAGTACGTAGCACTCTCTGCCTGTCCCCCATACTGGGCCATAGTACGTAGCACTCTCTGCCTGTCCTCCATACTGGGCCATAGTACGTAGCACTCTCTGCCTGTCCCCCCATACTGGGCCATAGTACGTAGCACTCTCTGCCTGTCCCCCATACTGGGCCATAGTACGTAGCACTCTCTGCCTGTCCCCCATACTGGGCCATAGTACGTAGCACTCTCTGCCTGTCCCCCCCTACTGGGCCATAGTAACGTAGCACTCTCTGCCTGTCCCCCATACTGGGTCATAGTACGTAGCACTCTCTGCCTGTCCCCCATACTGTCCCTAGTACGTACTGCACTCTCTGCCTGTCCCCCATACTGGGGCCATAGTACTGTTAGCACTCTCTGCCTCCTCCCCCATACTGGGGCCATAGTACGTAGCACTCTCTGCCTGTCCCCCATACAGGGTCCTAGTACGTAGCACTCTCTGCCTGTCAGGGGATCATAAGGCCCCCCCAAACTGGGCCATAGTACGTAGCACTCTCTGCCTGTCCCCCATACTGGGCCATAGTACGTAGCACTCTCTGCCTGTCCCCCATACTGGGCCATAGTACGTAGCACTCTCTGCCTGTCCCCCATACTGGGCCATAGTGTGTAGCACTTTTTCTTGTCTGCCTGTCCCCCATACTGGGCATAGTACGTAGCACTCTCTGCCTGTCCCCATACTGGGCCATAGTACGTAGCACTCTCTGCCTGTCCCCCATACTGGGCCATAGTACGTAGCACTCTCTGCCTGTCCCCCATACAGTGGGCCATAGTACGTAGCACTCTCTGCCTGTCCCATACTGGGCCATAGTACGTAGCACTCTCTGCCTGTCCCCCATACTGGGGCACAGAGGGGGACTCTCTCACGTCCCCCATACTGGGCCATAGTACGTGACACTCTCTGCCTTTTGCCAGGGGCTGATTACATTATAAATATTACGTACCCTGCGGGCCTTTATACAGCACCGGGGATGACGCCTGTTTTGCCATATTCATCGGGCACATTTATGAAGTCCATGACAGAGGGGACTACAAATGATGGCAGAAGAGCTGATTGGCTGGTCTGTGTGGGGCGACACGAGGCGAACTGTCACAGAGCCCCCCATGCAGGTGTGGGATGCGTCACGGGGCCGTGCGCAGAGGGGTATAGAGGGGGGACGTCACGGGGAAAGCACAGAAAATAAAAAACTGTCAGGGGACAAACATAGTAAATGTCTGTGTGTAATGGGGGAAGGCTGACAGTGGTGTTCTGTATTCACAGTGAAGATGACCAAGTATGTTGCCAGGGGACTGTGTGCATTTTTTCTTGTAAATGTGGAGTTATTGGTGTGGCGATACCCTGCAGGGGGTCATAGAGGGGGGAAGTACGGTTTTATGGTAAAAGTCATGACA